CGTGTATACGAACGATTGTATCTAGGTCAAAATGACAATGTCTCAATTGTTGGATATGCTGATGACACGGCTATTATTGGCATGATCCATGGCAACGATGAACGTCAGTAACGGGAAGGGTTATTTATGTTTGGGAATTGGTGTGAATATTATTTGTCTGCGGTACGATTGTATAGCAGACAAATGTTGTTTGTATCGTTAATGAATGCATACTTATGTTGGGTCCGGGGCGAGAAGGTTTCGTTTTTTCTGAGACTCACTGGGTGCGTATATATACGTCTGTCCTATAATCTCACATATTATTTCGTCTGTCATCCCTCTTGACTCCTAATACACACAAATAACACAATAATACACTTCAATTATTGTGGAATAGCCTGACAACGACTACTGAGAGCCGGCCGTTTATTCAGTATGAATGTTTAACAAACATTTCTTCTCGTTTCCTTCACTGGAAACCGTTTCCTTCACTGGAAACCGGACCTATCATGGTCCAGGATAAAAACCAGAGATAAAACTCAACGAGCATAAAAACTCTGGAAAACCTGATTACGTTACTACGAATACAGGCTACCCCCCCCCCCCCCCCGGATTGCGTGCTGTCAGCACCATTATTTATCATGTATACAAACGATTGTTCAAAGCAGGCCTCGCGTCTAAACAGCAGAGCATGGAAGAAAAATCAGCTATATTACCGTGACAAATAATGATAATAAATATTCGAATGATGAGGATGATAATAACAAATAATGATAGTAGCAATAACAATAATGATAATGATAATGATGATGATGAGGATACAAATAATGATAATAAGAATGAAATTAAAATAATACAAGATAATATTAATAATATTTCCGAATTCCACGAAATGTTATATTGTTATAAGTCCATTTATTTTCTTATAATATTCCACTATATAAAAACGATTTATATCCGTGTTTTATATGACTACGTCATTGTTAATTTGATACTGTGTATCATCTATTTGTGCATATTATTTTCTATTGTCTGATTACGTTACTACGAATACAGGCTCCCTTCAGGGTTGCGTGCTGTCAGCACCATTGATCATCGTGTATACGAACGATTGTATCTCGTCAAAATGACAATGTCTCAATTGTTGGATATGCTGATGACACGGCTATCATTGGCATGATCCATGGCAACGATGAACGTCAGTAACGGGAAGGGTTATTTATGTTTGAGAATTGGTGTGAATATTATTTGTCTGCGGTACGATTGTATAGCAGACAAATGTTGTTTGTATCGTTAATGATGCATACTTATGTTGGGTCCGGGGCTGTGCCCCGATGGAATGTAATTTGCATAGGCAGCTCGTACAGGTGTGCGAGCTAATTCTGCCACGGGGACCAGGGCGTGGCATGAATTAGTGTGTAATTGAATCATTCTAGCTTGAACTTTCAACGAGACAACTTTTATTTACAATAAAAGTGCGTTGTGTCATGTAGTGTTACATGATTGTGTTTGAATAAGGTTTTCCAGAGTTTTTATGCTCTTTGAGTTTTATCTCTGGTTTTTTATCCTGGACCATGATAGGTCCGGTTTCCAGTGAAGGAAACGAGAAGAAATGTTTGTTAAACATTCATACTGAATAAACGGCCGGCTCTCAGTAGTCGTTGTCAGGCTATTCCGTTGTCAGGCTATTCCACAATAATTGAAGTGTATTATTGTGTTATTTGTGTGTATTGGGAGTCAAGAGGAATGACAGACGAAATAATATGTGAGATTATAGGACAGACTTATGCGTTCAAAACATTTCATCAACAATGAGGTGAGGGATATTGGCCGATAGCAGGCGCGTACGCAGGGGGGGGGGGGGGGGGGGGGGGGGGGGGGGGGGGGGGGGGTTTGGGGGTTTAAAAACCCCCCCCTTGGAATTTTTTTGTGTGTAAACCCCCTAAAAAACCTAAAACCCCCCCCCCCCCCCCCCCCCCCCCCCCCCCCTTTTGGATTTTTTTTTTTTTTTTTTTTTTTTTTTTATTATTAAAAAAAAAAAAAAAAAAATTTATTCCCATGGCCGACCTAAAAAAGGTGACCTTACCCCCCCCCCCCCAACGGAGCAAAATGTCAAATTTCCAAATTTCGAGACCAAAAAAAAAAAAAAAGTGTCCTCTTACAATTCAGAGATTCTTGAAAAGGAGTGACAAAAGGGGTGGCTAATTGTCAGGCACATGTTTTGACACTATGAACATGACGGACAATGAAAGCGGACAAAATATACAGTTCCTCAGGTAGACAAAGGAACATATATCCCTTCACTGCTATTATGTAAAAATGTGTAGAACAGGTGAATATGAATGTGACACAACTTTTACATAATAGCAGTGAAGGGATGTTCCTTTGTCTACCTGAGGAACTGTATATTTTGTCCGCTTTCATTGTCCGTCATGTTCATAGTGTGAGTACTTTCCCACAAATACTGTCCGGTCCCACAGATTTTCTTGGATTAGTGCGTTTGAAGTACATGACAACATCATTGTAGTGAGTCATACAATGGGTGTATCATTGAACTGTTTCAAATCTTGCATAAAATGTATTAATTCATTGGCTGTATCATGAACAGATCTAGGTTCTGACACTGGTGGAGATTTCTGCTTCTTTTTATAACCTGTCATCGTTTGCATACACTTCCACTCGTCACGTGGATTATTAGATCTGAATGTACTCTCTAATTGGTCTCTATATTTTTCTTTCGCATCAATAATTTCTTTCTGAATGTTAAGATTAATGTCCCTACATGAGTTCATCATTGTCCTGATTTGAGAAAGCCCTGTTTCTTTGCACAAACAAATTCCTCAAATTCTTCCTGACCCATGGTTTTTGGTTAGGGAAAACCTTTATTTCTTTATCCTTAAAGGGAAAGTCCACCCCCAAAATAAGTTTGTTTCGATAGAGGCAGAATAATAAGAAAATCAGGTGAGTGAAAGTTTGAGCAAATTCTGAATGAAAATAAGAAAGTTATGAATTATTGAAGTTGTGATCAATCAAATACAAATTGGCAACTCTGTGACTTATTATACGAGCTCTCCTTCATTTGCTTTGTGCATAATATTCCATAAAATCATGTTTTCTTCGTTATTGATGACGGAATATATATTTGTTCCTTGCAGGGGGAGTATAGAAACAAATTTGCAATTATTATATTTAGGGTGCATGTATGGTTGAAATTTTTCTTGGGGGAAAATGAAAATTTTAGATTTTTTTAGTACTGAGCAAATGGAAGTTGAGCTCGCATGATACGTCATAGAGTTGCCAATTTGTGTTTGATTGATCACAACTTCAAAAATCCTAACTTCCTTATTTTTAATCGGAATTTGCTCAAACTTTCACTGACTTGTTTCTCTCATTTTTCTACTCCTATTAAAACTAACTTAATTTCAGGGTGGACTTCCCCTTTAAAATGTGTCAATCTTTACAGAATAAGATACAACCTTGGACACTAGGGACTTTTAGATTGAGTGAACGAGAACACGACGAACGCCGACTGATCACGCGTGTCAACGTACACAACTGCCCATGTTGACTACAATTAGAAATCTTTTAGATTGCACTCGACGATATACATGCAGGAAGTAACACTATGATCATGACAGACGAAGAAAGAGGACAAAATATACAGTTCCCATTCTACCCTCAACAATAGGCCATTTTCGTAATGTAACCAAATTTAATGCATAGGTCTTTGTGAAGTGCCTCAATACAAATTATTTTATTCACCTGATAGGAATAATAGTATTTCAATAGTCAAAATGCAACTGCATATATTAAGTGTTGCTAGGTAGGTATAATGTTTGTCCAACGTGGCAACAACTCATGTATGCAGTTAGGATTCTGTCTATTGAAATACTATTATTCTTATCAGGTGAATGAAATAGTTTGTATTGAGGCACTTCACAAAGACCTATGCATTAAATTTGGTTACATTACGAAAATGGCCTATTGCTGTGGTAGAACATCCCTTCACTGCTATTATGTAAAAATGTGTAGAACAGGTGAATATGCATGTGACACCTGTTCTACACATTTGTACATAATAGCAGGGAAGGGATGTTTCTTTGTCTACCTGAGGAACTGTATATTTTATGCGCCCTCGGCATATACTAGTACCGTACTAGATTTAGGAAAATCATGGTTGACACCCTCTCGATCGCCGACTGAGACGGCGTGACGCATGCGCAGTGCCTTAAAATGACGTCACACGTTGCAGTCAAAGCTGTCAACGTGCAAATCTAAAAGTCCCTACCGTTGGACATTTAACGGTAGGATTCATATCTTAATCCTAATAATGTCCGCAGGGCACGTTTTTTAATTGACTGTATTTGAGCTTCCTGGTTTAGACTTAGTGAGGAATATACCATACCATACTTCACAATAGTATTCTAGAACCGGCCTTATGTAGGAAGTAAAAACTGTGATCATATCATGTCAGCCAGTGAAAACGAATTCGTTTGATAAAATTATGGAAATGCAACCATTACTTTAAACAACCAGAACTTTGTTATTCCTGGCCCAGTTTTCCTGATTGAGGTGTCATATGAAAGGACCAAAGATGATCTTTCTTGGAATGTGATTTTCTCTGTAAAATTCAGATTACTACAAAAACAAGAACGCCAACTAGTCGCCACTGAGCTGCGCCCTCACCTGAAGAAGTTTACAAGCAATATTTCCTAAATCTGCTAAGATTTATCTTGGACAATGTTACATAGACACATATTAGTGATGGTTGTTGCTATGTGATGAATATTTTTATGGTTAATTTCGAAAGCAAAGGTGAAGGCTTTTCGTTTAGTGTCCTGACGACCCCGTCCCCCCCCCCCCCCCATTATACAAGCGATACCTAATTCGTAACACTCACACCCACAGCCACGGCCAATGACAAGAAAATGTCACGCCCATGAAATATCGTATGGATCTTTCTACAAATCCTACTGATTATATAAAATCGATGTTTATAGAATAAGCTTGTAATTACTTACCGCGTTGTCAAGATACATTCCTAACACCGAAATGATAATGAGGCAAATAATTCCAACCACTCCATATCTACGTGCCCTCGACATGATGTCTGTATGTAATGTGTAATGTGATATGCTTGAGCGTTAGCTACTTTGGCAGCTCGCCAGGGTAATATGTGTAAGAACCTATGGTATGGTATGGTATGATATCCCAGAAGGAAAAACCAGTTGCAACTGGTCCAGTTAAACCAGTTAAAGCCAACTGGTAACCCTGGAAATTGAAATGGGCCAGTTGAACCAGACCAGTTGAATTCTAACTGGACCAGTTAGAATTCGACCAGTTGAAATCCAACTTTTTTTTAAATAGAAAGTCCTAATAATTGGCAATTTGTATTTGTAGTATTTTCGAAATGAATTGCACATAACTAAATCAGCAGTAATTAAGGAATATGCTATAGATTCAGATAAATTGTATTGAAACATAGATATGCACGCACCCCATATCCATTATGCAAATTAGCTGGTGTCAACTGGTCAAATTCTAACTGGTCCAGTTGGAATTCAACTGGTCAGATTTTTAACTGGTCCAGTTGGAATTCAACTGGTCAAATTCTAACTGGTCCAGTTGGAATTCAACTGGTCAAATTCTAACTGGTCCAGTTGGAATTCAACTGGTCAAATTCTAACTGGTCCAGTTGGAATTAACAGACCAGTTATCAACTGGAAATATGCCCACAGACCAGTTATCAACTGGCGCAACTGGAAATATGCCCACAGACCAGTTATCAACTGGCGCAACTGGAAATATGCCATGCACAGACCAGTTATCAACTGGTGCAACTGGAAGTATGCAAACAGACCAGTTTAATATCAACTGGTGTAACTGGTCATTATAAGGACTGGTTCCAGTTAAATGAAATGCAGTCGCACCAAATATCCGCTTGATGTGCATCATGGACCAGTTAGAATCAACTGGAACCAGTTGAATCTAACTGGTTCCAGTTGAAGTTAACTGGAACCAGTTGGAAATTTCAACTGGTGGTAACTGGTTTTTCCTTCTGGGATGGTATTTATTGAATCTCATATTGCTCCGATTGTCTCATTTTCGCTCGCGTGAACATTGCCAGCACAAACCACTGACCTCTACCTCCTGTACGGATCATCGCCCATTCCCATTCATTATACGTTACGTACTAAAAGGCTGTATTGTCTGACTGTTCATGAATATTCATGTTTTTGCTTACCTCGGCTAAGTGTTTGCTTTTACTAAAGTGAACAATTACGGTGGGGGTTGGATGAAATGGACATAATGAAATAGGCAGAAGTGATCTATTATAATTCATGCTTTTTATGTTTCGTGTGCTCGACCTATTATCTTCAAATCGCTTGACAAACTGAGTCCAAATTTATACTTGTTTCACATGTGTATTATAGGCAATGACGAGCTTGCAACCTATTTTTGAAAAATTACGATGGGTGAACTTTCCAAAGTCAATGAGACATGAGGGCTCCAATGAAAGAGCTAGTGATAACGTACGTCGGGGTGGATGTGCTTTTCGTTTAAACAAAAAATGAATTTGTAACGATTTTTAAAAAAAACGTCCATAGGCTAACATGTTAGGCTGCTGCCCCTGACCATGCTCTGACGATAGGGGGCGTTGTGAAATGAGACTAAACGGAGCAATATGTACATCGCAGTTTCATATACTGAATTGCACATGGATATACATTGCATTTGCGAGGGTACATTGCGAGGGTACAATTTAAAACAGTATCATTTACATAATTTTAAGTACACGTATGATGTCACAAGTTTATCCTAAATTTTGTACCAAATGTAAAACAAAAGCAAAAATACGTGAAGGAAAAGATGTAGAGAAAAGAGGTTAAACGGGGAAAGGGAGAGAGAGAGAGAGATAGAGGAGAGAGGGGGAGGAGGGGAGAGGGAGGGAAAGTAAGACAAAGAGAAAGAAAGGATAAGAGACCGAGATATATAGTGAAGAAAGAGAAAGAGCAGGAAAGATAGCAATATGGAGAAAGAGAGAAGAGAGAGAGAGAGAGAGAGAGAGAGGAAAGAGAGAGATGAAGGAGAGAGAAGAAGAAAGAGAGAGAGGGAGAGACGGATCTGACCTGACGTATACCTGCGCTATATAAATAACATGTTATTATTATTATTATTATTATAAATTTGTGCTTTTAATGTACGTCATTATTTAATTAATCATGAAACGCCCTCTAAAAGAGTAATCAAACAGTGTGCGTCTACAATAACATTTAAAAAATATTATTATAGTAATCTTTTAAATTATTAATTCATGTCAAAATTTTAATTCATCCTCTTCCATAGGGTACCAAGTATATTATGATATTTCCATGCATGGATGAATTCGAAAGGTTTCGAGTGAGTGATATCACAAGTAGTTTGCGCGCAGAAGTGATGCAATTCAACTCCGTTTTTAGCACATTAATGCAAACAAATAATAATGATAATAATTTGTTGAGCAAGATATTTCAATATCTTTTTTCTTCTTCATTTGAAAACAGTTCATCATCATTATTTCGATTCACACATCTACTACATGCCTTCAGCATGTTACAGCTCATCAGTAGATGATCCATGGCCTGAGGGCCCTGCCTGCACGTGCAGTCTGCTGAATAATGTTCAATATATCCCCACTGTCTTGTGCATGTTTGCCTTGCACCCAACCTCTCCATACCTGTACGCAGCCTGCCCAGGTAAAAAAACAACAGTTGGGGACCAGTTGGAATCAACTGGTACTGGTACCAGTTGATTCCAGTTAAGTGAACTGGTTTCAATATGCATATAGCTCCGTTTAGTCTCATTTGACAACCCCCCCCCCCCCCCCTATCGTCAGAGTCAGCAGCCTAACATTTACCTCAACAAAAAGAAATCGTTAAAAATTCATTTTTTGTTTAAACGAAAAGCACATCCTCCCCGATGTATGTTATCACAAGCTCTTTCATTGGACCCCTCATGTCCCATTGACTTTTCACCCACCGTAATTTGATCAAAATAGGTTGCAAGCTCGCCATTGCCTTTATAACACAGGTGAAACAAGTCGAACTTTCGACTCAGTTTGCCAAGCGATTGTAAGGTTTTAGGTCAAGCACACGAAGGATAAGAAGCATGAGTTATAATAGATCAGTTCTGATCGGTTCATTATGTCCATTTCATCCACCCCCCCCCCCACCGTAATTTTTCAATTGAAGATAGGCAAACATTTTGCAGAGGTATAAGCAAAAACATGAATATTCATGATCGCCATGGACTATTTGATTATTTACAGAGGGGTGCTATTGTGCACCACATCAAACTACCCTACTTTGAGTCAAGTATTTCATTGTATTATGTAGTCTGGTAGGTTCATTTTAACTCTTAAGCTGCCACCCATACAATGTACCCAGTGCCACAGTGCTAATCCCTATTGTGCCAGCCACAAATCTCCTGTGTGCCAAGTTAATTTTAAGGTTGGTTCAAGTGCATGTTAATTAAATCTTTACAAAAAAACAAATCGCTAAATTACTCGAGAAAATCCAATCTGACTGTTGTATACAAAGACGCGTAATCCAAAGCCGATAATCTGATGCACGCGATGGTACTTTCAATAGCGCTGCAAAAGCACTCAGAACGCTGCAATGGGCATGAACAATGACTGTTATTACATATGCGCCCTTGCGTGCACAAAGCAGAGTAGCGGTGGCTCGCTGGCATGAACGTGGCATTCAATCGATAGCGCGCTCGCGTGCACAGAGCACTATAACAATAGCGCGCTAGCAGTCTCATGGCAGGATATGAGTTAATAACTGTTTAATTATCAGATATCAATGATACTTTAAAGATATGGAAAATGTTCTTGTTTTTTATATTTAGCAAAGCAATCTCACATAAAAATTGACTACCGAGTGTCGTCTAATCGGCCGATTGTCGTCTGCTATATACGTCCAGCGAGCGAAAATGAGACAACCGGAGCAATTTAGAAATTGGTATAGTGGAATCAACTGGAATCAACTGGTACTGGCAGGGGGGGGGGCGATTTCTTTTCATGTCCGGGGGGGGGGACGAAATGCGAGGGACGAGGGAGCAGTGGCGTAATGAGCAAAAACGTTTGGGGGGGGGGAGGAAAAAAATCCGCATCACCACCACTCTCATATTGCTTCGGTTTTCTCATTTTCGCTCGCTGGAACATTGCCAGCAGAAACCACTGACCTCTACCTCCAGGACGGATCATCGCCCATTCCCACTTTACTATACGTTACGTACTAAAAGGCTGTATTGTCTGACCGTTCATGAATATTAATGTTTTTGCTAACCTCGGCAAAATGTTTGCTTTCACTAAATGGAAAAATGACGGTGGGGGTTGGATGAAATGGACATAATGAACCAAACAGAAGCGATATATGATAATTCATGCTTCTTATATTTCGTGTGCTTGACCTATAATCTTAAAATCGCCTGGCAAACTGAGTCCAAAGTTCGACTTGTTTCACATGTGTATTATAGGCAATGACGAGCTTGCAACCTATTTTGATCAAATTACGGTGGGTAAACTTTCAAAAGTCAATGGGAGATGAGGGTTCCAATGAAAGAGCTAGTGATAACGTATGTCGGGGTGGATGTGCTTTTCGTTTAAACAAAAAAATGAATTTTTAACGATTTTGGGGGTAAAATTCCATAGGCAAACATGTTAGGCTGCTGACTCTGACGATAGGGGGCGTTGTGAAATGAGACTAAACGGAGCTATATGTACATGTTACGCAGGCCTTGGCAACGTTTTCTCAAAGTGGGGAGGGGGGGGGGCTAAAGTATTTATGATCAGGTAGAGCAAAGCGAGCGAAGCAAGTGGAGCGTAAATTGGCGTAGGGTCCAGGGGCAAAGCCCCGGCGGGAGTCAAGGGACAGAGCCCCATGAAACTTAGGGTTTTTAGGCATTTAATTACGGTCAGATGAGCAACCTTAGTGCATTTGGTGGGGTCCGGGAGGCGGAGCCCCCGGAAGCTCAGTGAAAAATACCATTTCAGCAACATTTGTAAATCACTGGAACAAATAAACCACGTTTGATT